GATTAGAACCGCTGAACTGCATATAGCAGTCAGCTGAAGTGGCCTGCAGTACTGCACCCTAACCACTGTGCCACCTCGGCTCGTATAGGCAGAAGACAAGGAGAATGTATCCATGAACACCAACTAGCAGTCAGAAGATATGATGAAAACTTCTTAATAACAAATGGACAGACTAGCTATACTTTCAACTTGGAAAGTGAGTATCCTAGACCAAACTAATTCCAAAAATTACTGAAAACTTGGCATTCAGACAAATCAGCCATCAACAGACACACAGAGATAAACAACATTTACACAGAGAGACAATAAGAAAGCTAAAAAGAACACAAACCAGAACACCTCATCATCATTAATGAACACCCAGAGAAGCAAAAGTTTGATATTAAGAGCAACTTAGACAAACAAACAGTAAACAACAGCCAAGTCAAGGAACTCCCAAAGAGAAAATGATACCCCCACCAACACTGACAGGGTAATCTATGGTATATAAATAGAGGCAAAGCCTACTCCCTTGTAGCACTGAAGATACCACCTAGCTGGGTAATGAAACATCTGCAAGAAAACAACCAAGCTCAGAGAGCACCAAGGACTCCCCAGTTCAACTACACGTAGCATCTCCTCTATTAGTACTTTTATGTATGTGTGCATTTAAATCTCTTTAATCTTTGATCAAATGACATTGCTCATTTTAATAAGGGCTGGTTTTTAAAGTATTTTGTTCTTACTGGCATCTTTCTAACAAATCAAGTCTAGGATGCTCTGAAAATCTAATCCTAGCCTCCAAATTCAAGAAAAGAATTAAGCAACCCCTTTAGAATCTGCCTTAAAGACTTAGGCTTCAAGCTATGGAAGATATCTTAGATTAATATGTATTGTATCATTAATGTCCCAGGTTCCATCTACTACTCAGGGTCACCTCAATGCAGTACTGGCATTAACAAATGGCAACAGCTTTGGAACTCAGTAAATCTGAGACCAGGCACAGTTGTTACAGTTTTAATTCTGGTGAATAGTAGGACAAAAGAATTACAATTATTAGAATTAGAATTATTTGTTTGTCAGTGCACAACATATGTACAATGAGATTGGTTGAGCTCCCTCAGTGCACACACTCCCAACACAATACAACTCACAGTGAAGACAAAAGAAAAAAAAAATCCCTAACCCAATAAATCATATTAACAAACACCCAGTCCTATTGCACCAGGGTGAACATGGTGCGCTGGCCCTGCAAGTCCATCATACTACATAGTTATGATGTTATTTTGCATTCAGGGGTCCGGCAGCCCACAGATAGAAACTGTTCTCCAGCCTGTTTATGCGGCTGGCTATGCTTCCATATCTCCATCTCAATGATGGGAGAGTAAAGAGTAAGGTTCNTGAGCCGGTGAGATTTGAACCGCCGGACTGCAGTCAGCTGAAGTAGCCTGGAGTGCTGCACTCTACCCACTGCGCTACCTCGGCTCTAAATCAACACCCCGGGCTGGTGTGGACTTTGTGGGAAACCAAGCCACAGCCCCTTTGGTTGTCCGAGAGGTTTGGGGGACCCTCCCATCCCACCCCACTTGTGCCCGCAGGGGAGACATGCTCTGGGCTCCATCAGCCAGAGTGTTCCAGCTGGTGGGGTCCAGGAGGAGGGCCTTATCTGCCATGGCGCCTGCCCTCTTGAACAGGGGTCTCCAACCGTGGCCACTTTAAGACTTGTGGACTTCAACTCCCAGAGGTTGGAGACCCCCTACTCTGGAACATCTTGCACCGACCCACCCCCACAAGTAAGGTCACCTGCAACCCTCCTGACATTTCCTAAGAGCCGAAACATCTGGCTCTCACGACTGGCCTGGGACTCCAATAGAGGGGCTTCACGTGGCTGGGGGGAGGGGGCTAGATGATAGATTAACTACAAATCCCATCTCCCTCCCCCTCATCCCACTCCCACTTTCCCCCTCTTTTAATTGGAGTGTAGTATTTGGATCTCCACCGTATTCTAGTTGTGCATTCACTTTTTAAGATTGCAAGACACCCAGAGTGTGATAAGATGGACAAATTCAATTTTGCCAATAAACAAACACGCCCAGGACCTCCAGTGTTCTTGCCTGGAGCCATGTGGAAGATCCACGCAGCCATCTGTGATTGCCATGAAACATTGCCCCAGGGAGGCAATTTCCCCCTGCTTAATTTGTCCTCCTCCTGGGAGTATCAGGACGAAGACTTTGGTCAAAAGATGGGGGCTTCTTCACCTCAGGGAATTGCAGCAAAGTGGAAGAAGGTGTTGGGAGAAACGTCCTTCTGGGTTCAGCTCCAAGTGGGGGAAAAGACACTGGAAACAGGGAGGCTGCTTGGAAAGATGGTTTGATGGTGGACAGGACCACGTGGCTTGAGCTCCTGGGCAGAAAAGGGGCATCAGAGGCTTCCAGATGTTGGGTGGAGAAGAAAAGGGACAGAGATGCTGAAGGTCCCTGGTTTTATGCCCTCTCTGGCCTTTGATCTTAAAGATGGGCAAATATCACTTGTATAACCAATAAAGCTCTACCACTTCCTTTTCTTTCACCAACCTGTGTTTTAGAACTCTCTTCAAGCGTGGCCATTAGGAGGACCGGCATATCTGGACGGAAAGTTTCATCCCTGAGCTGCCAGAAGAGGATGGGTCCAGGGCCTGAGCCTGCATCAAGGGGGTCTCAGTTGGGTAGATCGGCTCCTCTGCAGATGCCACCTAGCTAGAGAAGCCCTTCAGCCCTCTAAAAGCACCCTCCGCACACCAACCCACCCACCCATGGCACAGTGGCACAGGCCACTCCATCCGCTTCATGGGGTGTGCCAAAAGGCCTCCCACTTGCCAAGTGCCACCTGACTGCCACCAATGCCCCTGCCAGGCTGAGGAAGGTGCCACGACATTTGGAGAGGGCCTCTTCTTCTTCAACTAGGGTATGAGCCCCACTCGGTGACCGAATGCCCTTTTCCCTTCTGCCTCCCCCTTTTCTCCCTAGCTGCCATGGGGTACTGCCCACTGATGATTCCCCCACCCAGCAGCACAAGAGGCCCTCTTTGCTTCGCGAACGGCACAAGGGACCAGAACCGTGGGGCTGATTTTTCCCCTCCCTGGAAGAAGTGCTGTCCCTTTAGAGACAGGAAGATGTGCGTGGGGGCTGTGGAGGGTCAGTTCTCTCTCCTTCCCCCTCGCCCCCTCTCCATGCATCGGATTCTGATAGGCAGTGTGCACAAGACCATAATATCACCCTGGGTCTATTCACAACATCAGCTGGTTCCTAAATTCGCCAATTTCCTGCACATGTGGCAATACAAGTGTCGTAAAGGGAAGAAGTGTGTAGGGTTTGCAATCCAAAGCTAAGCTGCAAAAGTGCCCACACAAACTTGACATTAACATTAAGCTGAGCACAGGGACAGGCTGCAGATCCTTTCCCTCCCTTGGCATAGCTCACATTGTAAATCCTCCCAGGTCCCCAGTGCTCCTCATCCTTCCAAGCTGCCAGGACCAATGCGGGGCCCGAGTGTGGAAGGTGGTTCTTGCCTAACTCGAGAGCAGCTACACCAGGGAGAGGTCTCTGCCATCCAGGCCCTGAGGAACTGCCTCGCCTCCCTGCCTGTGGTGGAATGCAGTCTGGAGAGCAAAGAGGCAGGATAATTTAGATAGCTTGGTCGTGGTGCAGAGACTTAACAAAGCTCCTTCCTAGGGATTCCCAGACTATTGTCTGTAATATGCAAATAGTTGGTTTTCTCTGGCAAGATTCTGTCTGTAGGTGACTAACAGCAAAGGAAATTGTTCAGAAGTAACTCTAAGTCTCCGGAGTGGTTCTTGGGACCTGACACTCCCTCTCATTCTGGAACACCCCGGCATGTGTCTCAGGAGGGTCAAAGTGCACCCATTTGTTCCCTACAACAACACCTGCAGTGATGACCAGGACTGTCCCCTGACCGAGAAGTGCTGCTTCACGGCTGCAGCCAAGGCTGCCTGCCCTCAGGTGTGTCCAGGCCTCCTCCTCCTCCCACCTGTTTCTTTCCCCCTCCGTTCTCCGCCTGAGCCCCTGAGCCAGAGGCCANATGGAAATCAGAAGGAAATGAGAAAAAGGAAGGAAGGAATATATCTCTATCTAGATGGATTCTATATCTAGCGATACAATTCTACCTGGGTTTTATGAGAATATATTATTTTTTTCCTGAAAAATACTTTTTTAGAAAAGAAAAAACTTTTGAAGGCCCTGCTGAATTCAGGGATAATTTCCAAGCCCAACAGAAAAGTTCTCAACTTCTCTTTCTCCCCTCCTCCCCCTTCAAAACCTTGCAGACATCAAGAAGCCTGGCACATGTCCCCCGCCAGTTCAGGACGAGGACAAGCGTTGTGGAAAATACTGCTCCAGCGATGCCAAGTGCCCGGGCATCGAACGCTGCTGCCCCACTTCCTGTGGGCAGGAATGTAGAATCCCCCAAAGATGTAAGTACGGCTCCTGGACTGGGAGGGGAGATGGGGCAGGGGAGGGAGTGGGCACCAGGGTTCAGGAACGGAGAGCGGAGGGTGGTACCTGGCACCAAGGAAAGCAGAGCCGTGCCAGAGCTGCCAGGTTCTTTGCCCAGCCCTGGAGCTCAGAGGGAAGCCAGGCCGTGGCTGGTCATCCTCCCAGACCAGCACAGCTGGGCCTTTCCAAAGGAGCGTTGCGGAAGGAGCTCTAGGGCTCTCGGGAGCCACCCCGGAGCTCGTAGGAGGGGAGAAGGAGGCCCGTGGGTCGGAGCTGCCAGTGGAGGGCTGCTTGGTGCCAACCTGCCCTGAAACGGCCTCCGGTGGGTAGACCAGCCGTGCCGGAGGCTTCTCTACACAGTGGAGTGCTGGGAAGGGCTCCCCTGCCACCTGGTGCCCCCTGGCCAGAGGAGGGGTTGCCCAGCTGCAGGGGAAGTGGCCAAAGACCCCCAACCCTTTGGAGGACTTTTGCTGTGGAGCTTCCTGTGCAACATCTCCCTCCTCCTCCTCCTTGCTCCCACAGATGCCCCCTGACAGGCTGAGGAAGGTCCTGCAGCATTTGGAGGGGGGCTCCTCTTCCATGAGGGCAGGGCTGCCTCGGGCCTTTCGGAAGCAGGCCGTGGGACAGGAAGGGGTGGGCGAGTGCAGGGGCCTTGCTTCTTGCACACAGAGACACACGTGCAGAAGCCTCCAGGCGGGTGGGCAGAGCCTCCTTCCGCCACCGCCACCAGTTCACCCGACTGAACTGGGAGGAACCCACCTCTGCCCGCAGGTCCGCCAAGCTGAAAAAGGTTAGGGAACTCTGTCCTTAAGGTGTGAGCCCCACTCGGAATGCCCTCTTCCGTTCTGTGCCCCTAGATATGCCAGGATACTGCCCAGCGGTGCTCCTCCCGCCCAGCAGGGGGGACGTTTGCTTCCGCACCTGCACCAACGACTTCGACTGCAACCACGGCATCCAACTTCCCTTGAAGAAGTGCTGCGACTTTGAGGGCAGGAAGATATGCGTAGACAACATGGAAGGTGCCACTCCTTCCTTCCTTCCTTCCTTCCTTCCTTCCTTCCTTCCTTCCTTCCTTCCTGCTACTTCACTCCATCCTTTCCTCCCTCCTCTCCTGAGCAATGGACTTGTCCATCTGCCCCTCCCAGTCCTCTCTTTGAAGTCTCATGAACTGCAGTCTATGACCGACGGGAAAACCGAAGCCTTTGTAGTTATTGTGAGCGACAATATCCTCTCGCTCCTATCCTTCACCATTTCTCCTTTCTCAGCCTCTTTCCCTCCCTCCCTCCCTCCCTCCCTCCCTCC